GAGTCATTTGGGGAAAAACTTTGAATTTTATGTGGTAATTGTGTACTTATACAATATATAGAAGTGGCAGTTATTTATATAGTAAGATTTGGCTTTTTTAAGAGATTACCTCAGAATGAATAAGCAGCAGATGTTTTATTTACGTGAAGTAAATTATATTAAGACTGTCATATATTTTTTTAATGTAATTCTATAAAATATTCTACAAAGTAGCATTTTATGATATAAAAACATTTTCACGATAAGACTCATACACAAATGCTGGTAGCACTCTTATTCATGGTAGCCAATAAAATGGAAACAATCCAACTGTCCATCTTCTGGTGGCCAGGTAAACAAATTATGGTCTGTTCAAACAACAGAATACTCCTCAGCAAGAGAGGATTGAACTACTGATAGAGGCCACAACGGGGATGTCTCTCCACAACATTCCCCTACGTAGAAGTCAGGTAAGAAGAGTACGAGCTAGTCACCGTATTTATTTGAAATTGTAGAACAGGCAAAACAAAGCAAGAATGTAAGAAGACCAGCGATTGGCAGGGCCAGGGTGGATTGAGCGCGTGGCTGCCGGAGAGCAAGGGAGGCAAGGTGGTAGAAATGTGCTGAAGCTTGGCTCCTGCAGCGGTTACATAGGTGTATGCATTTGTCAAGACTTAAAATGGGTGCATGTCATTACATGGGAATTACAGCTCATAAAAGTTGACTTAAAAGGTTAAAAAAAAAGAAAAAATATTTTATGACTCAGAAAACCAGTACCAAGAGAAAAGAGTCCAGTATCACAAGTTGAAACAGATATCTGGGACCAGAGCCGTGAACTGATTAAACCAGACCTAACTGCAGTGAGAAACTGATAATCTCATTAGACAGATTAGGTAATCCTAGATCAAAATGAAAGAAGCGTGATGTATCTAGTGTGAAATTTTAACTCATAATTTAATCTTTTTTTGTTATGATTATATCCAAAGAGAAATCCTATAAAATGTGTGTGAGACAAAGCAAGCACAGCTGGAGTCTTAACTGGCGGTGGATGAACTGGATGTCTCGTTTTTTGGAATTTATGCAGTAGAAATACAGATGTCCTAAGGCTCTGTCATCTGGCCTGAAAAGTTTTGTGCATATGCCTTAAATAGGCAGTTTTTGATATGGTCATCGTGCGTGTGCCTTCCAGTGTTAAATGATAACTGTCCATATAAGCTTTAAATGCTGTCTACTCATTGATAGCAAAACTTTTTCTTGTTTTTCTTGTGGTACGGATAACTACTTGTTCTGTCCTCTGGAGATTGCACAGCAGAATATAATAGTAGATGACATTTAAAGCTTTTGATAAGTTTCCTAATTAAAAAGAAAAAAGAAGGTTTTTTTAGTAGACATGGAATAAAGGGGATCTAGAATTCCTTTAACCTGATAAAGAGAATATACCAAAAACCTAGAGTGAGCAACTGTATTTAACAATAAAACTTTAGACACTTTTCTGTTAAAATTAGAAAAGAACATAGGAATACATGCTCTTCCTACTTCTGTTAAGCCAGAGGGTTTAAGGCACTGGAATGACACAAGGAAAAGAAATTAAGAGTTAAAAGACGAGACAGAATTGGTAATGCGAATAAACTATTTGTGTTGTTTTACAGGAATTGTTGTTTAAGAAAACGGCTCTGCTGTTTCAGCTTCAGAATTTAATGTAAACTTAGGTTTAAAAGGTCAGATTTAGTTGTAATTGATGTCTCTAACTCACTTAGCCTAGCTAACTAATAATAATAAAAGTGTTTTTCATTTAGCAGTTACGTTTATAGGTTTTACAATTAAACTGATGAAATTACTTTATCCAACCACTAATACGTCGTTTTCCCAGGTTTTAGGGATGTCTGTGAGGGAAAAATGATGTACTCCAGCTAACTCTTAATGCTAACTACTATTCCATGCAAAAATAACATGAAGTAAAAATTGTATGTAATAGAAAATGAACAAAAGGATGTGTGTGTGTGTGTGTGTGTGTGTGTGTGTGTGTGAAGATTCTTTGAATTAAGGTAGGTTGCTTTGTCTGAATTTAAGTCTGTTCACATTTTGGATCCTATCAGAGCTCTAAAGTACAAACTGCTTAGCTGAACTTATTCTTAGCTTTCAAAGCCAAGGTAACATTTTAGTCCCATGGGGTATTATTAGCCATTGTTTACTGGTAACCTGGACAGAGTACATGGCATGTGCTGTTCTGTGTCACTAATCCCTCCCCCACCCTCTCCACAATCCCATTTTACCATGGGTTTTTATATTTTATGGTTTATCTTTTCTCTTCTCCTAGGAAGTCGGAATTTTCTTTTGGCTGAATGGATTGAAAATTACTTGGTGAAAAGAAAAAGTTTAGGGATGTCTCTATTGAAGAACAAAATTAACAGTTGAGTTAAACTGCCTTTGAGTTATTTTAACATTGTTTACATATTTAAAATGTTTGGTTTTGTTCATAAATCTTTTACAGTTCAAAACATTGCTTTTGTAAAATTTGTGGTACTCTTATTCACCCTCTCTATCCTGGATCTATGATTTTCTTTCACCTTTTGGTGAAACCGTAGAGGCTAATATTTAAGAAAGAAGTTTCCAGGCTTATGTTACTAGGTAGACCATGATTTTTGCCTCATTTCAACTTCAGTGTGTCAACTTGATAGGTCAAGACAGGTGGCCATCTGCTGACCAACGTCTGACTAGGGAGGGTGGAGGCTGGCGATAGATGGATGTGTCTGATGACAAAGTAAGCAATTCTGTGAATATGAGTGTGCAGAGTAAAAGTAGGACCCACAGATGGTAGAGCTGTGCTGTCTCTTATTTCCTCCTCAGCTCTGAGATTGGCCGTGGCCGTCTTTTCAAAGATGCCAGCTGGGGCTGTCCGTTAACCATCAGCACCCATTGGTTTGGGAAGAAGGGACTTGTTGCTTTCTTTAAATTTGTTCAGCCTCTCATTTTCATGTACGGCTTTATAGTCATCTGGTGATAAAAAATGATATTCAAAAGCAGAATGTATGAGAATTGACCTTTCTTGGGAGAACATCCCAGTTAGATCTCATTTCCACAACATGATTACATTTTGACATCTGGCTTTTTTCCCCTGTTTCTTTTTTTTTTTTTTTTCTTTAATCCTCTGATATTTCAGATTTCTGTGATCTGCTATTGCCACTTCAAATCTCATTACTGAAAGTCCTTCCCGTGTTGTGAAGAGAGGAAACATTTTTCAGAAAACCGCAACACACTATAATAAAAATTTAAATATAACAAAGCTGGTAGCTTTCACTTCCCTTTGTAATATATAAAATTCTATCTACTGATCCACAAAGTACCTTTAAGAAACACGTTTTCATTTAATTTGAGACCTAATTGAGATAGTTCTGCTATAGCTAGAATAAAACTCATCTCAACTAATGTTCCTTGTGCTGTCTTAGAAGTGTTCTTTAGCATTGACATGAAAGGAGGAAAGTTAGAGACTACAGGTGGGTTCTTGTGAGGGACTGAAGCCGGAGAAGGCAACGTGGAGTCAGCGCTGGCTGCATGGCCTTGGGGAGCCCAGGCTGTGAAAGAAAAGATTCACCGTACATGTGTGCTGTTTATTTTAGTATTTGGTAGCAGATTGAATTTGATGGGGATTTAATGATATGTAAACTATTAAATTGAGTAAGGAAAAAGAAAGTTTGGGGCTGAGGACAGAGAGTTTGAAAGGGCAGATGGAAAATAAAACGCAGAGCAGGAAGAAGGTTGGTCTAGCTGTCCTTTAAGGAAGTTTGAAACAGTGCATGCAAGCATTGGATGTGTATTTCTGCATATGAGGAGGGAATGGAGTGTGAAGCTTCACTGAAAAAGCCCAGTCACTGGGTCCTGTCTACCCTGTCCTCACACTGTGGTATGGAATTCTTACTACCGTAGGAGTTAGAAAGGAGTTGGAGGGATACCCTGGCAGACCCTGGAACTGTCTTCAGCTGTCTAAGCTGAGAAGTTATCAAAAGCTGTCTGGGATATAGAAATTAACATGACCCATCACAAAGGCACCAGCATTGGTATGCTCTTGTTGGAAAATATCATATTGCCAGGATTGATTCAGGCTCTCTGGCTGCCTAGGAGGGTATGGTGTCCTTTCTTACTGCTAGACGTGCTTCCTGCCCTGTACTAAGAATTGCAAGTATCAGCCCTGGCTGGTGTGGCTCAGTGGGCTGAGTGCTGGCCTGAGCTTTCAATCACGGACTGGAGACCTTTCGGTGTCAGGGCACAGGCCCGCGTTATGGGCCAGGTCCCCAGTTTCTCCACCACATCAATGTTTCCCTCTCCCTCCCTTCCCCTCTCTCTGAAAATAAACAAACAAAATCTTTTAAAAAAAGGAATTGCAAGTTTAGATTTGTAGTCAAAGGGAATATTTATACATGGATCGGTTCACTGGGCTTGTGTAAGGAATGGCCACAGCTGGATCCCAGCATTGTCCCAGGGTGTCCCAAACTGTCATTTTCTTCCATCATTTGGCAGCTTTTTGCTTTGACTAAGAGCGAAAGTGGCCACCAGCTGTGCTCAGCTTCTATCCTGCCAACCCAGAAACCTCAGCAAAAAGAACACTTCTCTCCCCAGGCGTTCCAACAGGCATTCCAAAGCTGACTTTCATTACTGAAAGTCCTTCCCATGTTGTGAAGAGAAGAAATAGTTTTCAGGAAACACCAGCGCAGAATAGAGGGCTGTAATTCACTGGTTAGGCCCGGGTCACTTTGACCCATTTGGGGAGGTTGGGGACAGGCTCTGCGCTCTTGACTCACAGGGACCGGGGTTGGGGGAGGGAAATCGGGATGCTGTTAACATTAGAAGAGGAAAGGGATGCTGGACAGTCAAAAACAAGAAAATGTCCACTCTATCTATCTCCAAAGCCATTCAATGGGAGAGGACTGTCCTTCAGCCAAGAGGTCACCAACGTCTGTGCTCCTCGGTGAACATGTCCAGGGTTGAAGCCTAACCCCTCTCCCCACTGCTCTGTTTTGCCACAGATACCTGTTTCCCAAGTTTGCACTGTGCTGGACTGAGTTTGTAGACATGAAGGTCCGTGTGCCCTGTGAAACCATCGAATACATTGAAGCTAACTATGGGAAGACCTGGAAGATTCCCGTGAAGACGTGGGACTGGAAGCGCTCTCCCTCCAACGTGCAGCCCAACGGAATCTGGCCTATTTCCGAGTGGGACGAGGTCATCCAGTTATACTGAGACAGTAGGTTGAAACAGTAGAATTCCCCCTCCGGAAAAACAGGTGGATATGTGTCTAAAAAGATATATATCTATTTGTGAAATATAAGTAGGAGCCAAAGAAAAGTGACAAGTTTGAAGACACAGAAAGAGTTGTAACTCCAAAGCCAACTGTTTTAATCTTCTCATGTAACATCTATTAAGGAGTCACCATGTGCCAGGTACAGTGCTAGGCTACCACGGAAAGCAGAGAGGAGTGACAGATGCCTGCCTCTTTTTCTCCCTCCCGTAGGTAAGCGTCCCAATTTTCCTTTGAGGGAAACGCCCCCAGACGAGCTCATATGGAATAGGGCGTGTTCTGTAAGTGCTTTCAAAATGGTAGACAATGTTTGGTCTGGCAGATGGACTCACCACAAGAGGTTAAGGAAGGACATACTAGTTCAAAAGAATAACCCATTCCTGGTCTGTGTGTTTAAGCTTGAATGTTAGGCTACTTTTCAGGTTGTGGCGTCTGAGTTAATAGTCAAGTGATCAGATTTCAGGTGGCATGAAGAAAAGATGCTGGCAGGTTCATTTTGTACGCATCCTGCTGTGGAATTGATTTAAAGCACAGGGCAGCATCCTGTAAGAGAATGAGAGCTTATGTCTAGCCTTGTCAAAAATACCTAAACTTTCATACACTGTCTCTTTTCATATGTGAAGTAACAGCAGAACTTATGTTTGTGTAATGCTTAAATTTCCAGCCATTGTGAGAAGATTTTCACTGACTTCTGAAAGCACTTGTTGACAAACCATTCAGGTGAGACCATGCTACCAGACATGACTTTGAAAGGGTTGTCATGGCACAAAACTTGCTTTCCTTATTTCATTTCAACCATCTGTTAGGTAAAAAATACGAGCTATTCATGGACACTTAATATTCTCTGATTTAGAATGCTTGCACTCCCAATTTTAATGTTAACACTAAAATATTAATAGAAATACCTCTTCCTGTACTCTTCAGTTACATTGTTTGTAAGCCTCCCTGTACCCTCTCTCTTCCAAAACTACACCAGGTCTCCAAAATGAAGATAAATGGAAAACCTTGTCATTGTTCCCCACCCCAGAGCATATTGTTTGTGATGTTTCTATCGGTGTTAGTGGTTTTATATATCAAATGCCAATGGGGCAAGAACTCAAGACTTCCCTGCTCTCCCTCCCACTCTGAAATCCTCGTTTCCTTTTCCTCCACAAAATACATCCCTGATTAGGCTGGGATGGCTCAGTCTTCCCCATCTCTTCATGAGTCACTTTAATTATATATTCTAAGTGACTATATATTCTAGGCACAATAAATCCTTCTCCTTTTTTCTTTTTTGGTCCAGGAAAGGAAGCGTAGGCTGCTTAGGACTACTGTCTGAACCAGATGGGCAGGTTTTTCTCCACTCTCTTCATTTGCAGTAATTAAGAAATAAGAATCAGATTTTCCTGGCAATAAATAAATAAACAAACAAAAAAACAAACTAGAGAATAATGGGCAGGCAGTATGTTGGCGTAAAAAAGGTGGCAAACTTTTCAATGAGGCCTGAGTTCGAATCCCAGCTTCATCATGTGGAATTTATGGTAGGGGACCTGTCAAACTTACTTTTCTCATGAGTGAGTTGGGGAAATGATGTGTCCAAGGGGTTTTAGTAAAGATTAAATGAAATATGAAGTGCTTAGCATCAGGCCTAAGATTAAGTAAGTGCTCAAGAAATGTTTCATTTTCTGCCTTCCAAGTAGTTTTCTAATTATTCTTCAAAAGGGATAAAAGAAACTGGGGGTCAGGGCACCATTCTTAATCAGAAGGTTGCATGACTGAATTTGCTTAGGAGAAAAATTTTCATTCTCTCAAGGTATTAAAGGACAAATTGTATGGTTTATGAATTCAGAGACTTTCCCAAGTTGCCTCCCTCTCTAAATAGAACTTGTATTTATTTTAATTTTATTGGTCAAACTTTTGTCTCCTAGAGTCTTTTTAGACTATCCCATCTGCTACCTAGTTCTTTGGTTCTAGGCATTTCATTCTCTGTAGCTCCCTAGATTTTGTGCCTGCTCTGCTCTGGACTTTTGTTTTTTTCAGTATGTGCCTTTCCCCAGAGGTAAATCCTCACCTCCTTATTAGTAAATTTCCGCCCGCCCAAAATCAGATATAAGTCATGATTTGGAAAGGGAAAGAATTTAGAATACTTAGTTTGATTTAATTGTCTATCCTGGTGAATGACTGTATCAGTAAAATAAAAGATAATTCAAAGTACTCATTTCCACCTTCATTCCCCAAATTTGCGCTTCTGTCTCAACTAGGTAAGAATAAACAGAGTGTGTGATGCTGTTTTAAGCTGCTGCACATCAGAGAGAAATTCTAACTGTAGTGTGTAAGTCAGCCAGACCAATTCGGCAGTAATAGCTTTTGTACAGAACCAGTGAAAAGAAAGCAAATACACATTTTTCTAATGTGAAATCTCTGCATCTATATTCTCAGCACCCGCTTAGAATGCCCCCGCTTGCCATCCCTTAGCCCAGCCCAACGCAGAGAGTAGGCAGGAGCATACTAGCCAGCCAGGTAGCTATATACGTAGCAGTAGCTCTCACAGTGACATTGACAGGGGGCATTAGGAGAGTTAAAAGTACTGTATTTTATTCTCTAAAACAGTTATGCTGTGTCATGCACCATGTCAAAAAAGTTTACAAGATTTTGTAGCCTTCTGATGACTCACTTCAGAGCATGGTGAATATGTGGTGTGTTTGGTAAATGAAAATCACATGTAGCTATTTATGTGGCCCTTCCACTTCATAACCAGAAAACCACGTATGTGAATTTTCTAAACAAAGTGATATTTTAAACATGAGTAAATTTTAGTGTATGCTTACCAGTTTACTATTTGGTTTTATCTTCAGGTACAGATAATTTGTGGTACTACTGAAAATACCTTTAATATAATTACTTCGATCAGAATTTGTAATATATAATCCAGTTTGTGATGGTGAATAAAATTTTTCTTATCTCTTGAGATATTTTGTGCTTATTTTTGAAGTTTACAGTAGAAATAACAGCAGCAAACATACATAAGCAACCTGGTAAAATCGTAACCTTGCCACCAGTGCAACAAAGCTCAGGCCTAGGAACCTAAGAGTTCTCAGTGATGATGCCTCTCAGCCAAGGACCATCAGGAAGACACCTGTACTCAAAGAAAGTTAGGTTTATGAGCTTGTTGCGGCAAGAGAGAACACCCACCCTGAGGAACCATGACATTTCAGGAAGAAAGACCTAAAAAGGGCTTTTATAGGGTTTGAACTAAAGTCAGAATTGTGAAGAGTAGCTGTGGTAGAGGAAACAACACAGGGCATGAAGTAAGACGTCCTAGTTTGTCTGAATCCAACAATGTCTAAAAAGTAATTATACATCATGACCAAGTGGGATATATTTACACATCTGTATGACCTGGCTCAGCATTCAAAAGTCAACGTAATCAGACCTGGCTGGTGTGGCTCAGTGGATTGAGTGCCGGCTTGCAAACTGAAAAACCGCCTGTTCGATTCCCAGGCAAGGCACATGCCTGGATTGAAGGCCAGGTCCCCAGCTGGGGGTGTTTGAGAGGCAACTGACTGATGTATCTCTCACACGTTGATATTTCTTTCCCTCTCTTTCTCTATCCCTTTCCCTCTCTCTAAAAATAAATAAAATCTTTAAAAAATTTTTTTAAATCAACATAATCATATTGACAAATATAAGAGACTGGATGTTTTCCCCCTAAGATTGGTAACAAGACAAGGAGGTCTGTTTTCACTACTCTTACCCAGTAAAATCCTGGATGTTCTTGCCACTGAAACAAGGCAAGAAAAATAAAAGACATACAGATTGGAAAAAAAGAGATGAAACTATTTTCAGATGATATTATTGTCTATATTGGTAATAGATAATACCAAGAAATCTATTATAAACAAAACAAGAAGAACCCAAACAAGCCCAAAAGAAAAGAAAACCTCCTGGAGGTTGTAAGTGCATTTAGCATGGTCACTATATATATAAACACGATCAAGATCAACACCAAAAAACCTATTGCATTCCTATACAGAACATGTGAACACGGAAATGAAAGGTACAGTATACTTAGCATCGTTCCAAAGAAAATGAAGTACTTAGGCATAAACTTAAAACTTATACAGTTCTGTATATGAAAAGGCTGATGAAAGAAATCAAAGACCTAAATAAATAGAGATATGTACCATATTCATGGACTGGAAAACTCTGCATAGTAAAGATGTCACTTCTATAGGTTTAATGCAATTCTTGTCAAAATTTCAGCAAGATTTTTAGTAGGCATAGGCAAGCTTATTGCAAAAATGTATGTGGGAAGGCACAGAGTCTAGAATAGCTGAAGCAATCTTGACAAGAGTAAAGTAGCAAAAAGATTTGAAATTGGAAGACTTAAGTTTGTCCTTACATTTCAATAGGTGTGTTAGCTGACCCTGTAGGGTAGACGTTTGATTTACATACAAAAAAGCTGCAGTTTAGAGGTAACACAGATCTTAAACTCTGCCTACTGACTTGAAATGCAGTAGTTACTCTAATTCTAATTAACTGTTGATTGAAAAAAATTTTTTTAATTATAACTTGAGACTAACGTCTTGTACTACAAGTGAGAATCACTTTACCCAATATTAAGGCTTACTGTATATGCCTATAGTACTTGTTCTGGGCTGAACTGTGTCCCTCCCTCCAAATTCTTATATCGAAGTCCCCATCCTCAGTACCTCAGAATGTGACTGTATTTGGGAATAGAGCCTTTAAAGAGGTAATTAAGGTAAAAAGAGGTCATATGGGGAGGGGCCCTAATCCAATATGCTGGTGTCCCTTTAAGAAGAGATTAGTGTACAGACAAGCCCAGAGGGAAGACCATATGAAGATTTAGGGAGAAGATGGCTATCTACAAGCCAAGGAGAGGGACCCTCAGAAGAAACCAACCCTGCCAACACCTTGACCTTGGGCTTCTAAGCCTTCAGAACTGGGAAAAATAAATTTCCGTTTTATTTTATTTTATTTTATTTAGACAACAATGTCTAAAAAGTAATTATACATCATGACCAAGTGGGATATATTACACATCTATATGACCTGGCTCAGCATTCAAAAGTCAACGTAATCAGCCCTGGCTGGTGTGGCTCAGTGGATTGAGCCATCCAACCCGTAATTCTTTGTTAGGCAATCCTAGCAAATTAATGCAGTGATAAAGACAGCATGGTATTGGTAAAGGGAGCAGAATCAATGGAGCAGAATAAAGAATTCAGAAATTGACAAATATTCTCAACTGATTTTTTTTTTAATTGCAAAAGCAATTCAATGGAGGAAGGATAGCCTTTCAACAAATGGTGGTAGAGGCATTGGAGATACATAGCCCTCCCACTCCCCTCCCCGCAAAAAAAGACTCTCAACTACTTTATACAAAAATGAATTCAAAATGGATCGCATACTTAAATGTAAAATGAGACTTTTAGGATAAAAGATTAGGAGAAAATCTTCATGATCTAAAGCTAAGCAAAAAGTCCTTTCTTACACTCAATACCAAAAGCACAATCGATAAAAGGAAAATTTGATAAATTGAACTTCATCAAAATTAAAAACTGCTTCTCTGCAAAAGCCTTCATGAAGAAGATGAAAAGACAAGCTACAGACAAGAAGAAAATATTTGCAAGTGCATATCTGACAAAAAGACTTTTACCCAGCCTCTATGAAGAATCTCAATACTCAAGTTTTTAAAAAATCAAATCAGATCAAAAGACAAGAAAGGACATTTCACTGGAGAGGATATACAATGACAAATAAACACATTAAAAACATATTCAACACCATTAACCAAATAAGCAAAAGCAATAGCTAAAGCAACCCTGAGAAAGAACAATGTAGGAGGCATCACGCTTCCTGCATATTACAATGCTACAGTAATCAAAACTGTGGTGCTGGCATAAAAAACAGATACACAGACCAATGGAACAGAATTGAGGACCTAGAAATAAACCCATCCATATATGGTCAACTAATATTTGACAAGGGAGCCAAGAATACTCAATAGAGAAATGACGGTCTCTTCAATAAATAAGGCTGGGAAAATTTAAGATTTCATTACAAAAGAATGAAACAAACTCCATCTTACACCACCCACGAACATTCACTAAAGATTAATTTAAAACTTCACTGTGAGATCTTAAAACCATAACACTCCTAGATAAAAACAGAGGCAAAGCCCCTTGACATTGGTCTTATCAAGGATTTTTTTGGATATAACACCAAAAGCACAGACAAGAAAAGCAAAAATAAGTGGGATGACATCAGACTAAAAGGCTTCGGCACAGCAAAGGAAGCAACAAAAATGAGAGGCAGCCTATAGACTGGGAATAAATATTTGCAAACCGTATACCTGAAAAGGAGCTAATATCCAAAAAATATAAGGAACTCATACAACTCAGTAGCAAAAATACATATATTCAATTAAAAGTGAGCAGAGGAACTGAATAGATATTTTTTCAAAGAAGATATCAAATGGCCAAGAGGTACAGGAGGAGGTGGCCAACATTACTAATCATCAGGGAGATGCAAATCAAAACCTCAGTGAGATATCTCACACCTGTTAAAATGTTTGTTATTGAAAAGACAAGAAATAACAATTGCTGGTGAGGATGTGAAGGAAAGGAAACCCTTTTACACTTTCGGTGGGAATGTGAATTGGTATAGCACTATAGAAAACAGAATGGAGATTTCTCAAAAAATTAAAAACAGAGCTACCATATGATTCAGCAAACCCATTTATGGTTATATGGCTGAAGAAAATGAAATCACTGTCCCAAAGAGATGTATGCACCCTATGTTCACTGCAGCTTTATTTACAATAACTAAGACATAGAAATCACCTAAGTGTCTATTGGCGGATGAACAGATAAAATTGCTATATATATAGAATGGAATATTATCCAGCCATGAAAAAAGAAAATCCTGCCTTTTGCAACAACATGGATGGACCTTGAGGGTATTAGGTTAAGGGAAGCAAGTCAGAGAAAAACCAATACTGTATGACCTCACTTATATGTGGAATAGAGGAGAACCAAACTCAAAAACAGAGAAGAGATTGGTGGTTGCCAGAGGCAGGTGGCAGGGGATGGGGGAATTGAGTGAAGGTTGAAAGGTGCAAATTTCCAGTTACAAGTGAGTTGTGGGGGCATAATTTATAGTGTGACGACTATAGTTAATAAATACTTCATTGTATATTTGAAAGTTGCTAAGAGAGTAGATCTTGAAAGTCCTCATCGCAAGAAAAAATGAACTACAGACATTAACTTACAGTACTGATCATTTCATTATATATACAGGTATCAAATTATATATTGTATACCTTAAACTCATACAAGTTATATATCAATCAATCTAAATAAAACTGGAGGAAAGAAGTTACCATTTTCTGTGTTGTCACTGGCATAAGGAGTGACCCCAGTCAGAGCTTCCCAGTCGTTGCGCCTGGGCCTCCGCTTCGCCGTGTCCCAGCGGCGGTTTTTGGCCACAGTGAGATATCTCACGACCACAGTGAGGTAACGCTGCACGCTACCTGAATGGCTAACGTTTTAAATAATGATCACACTGAACATTGTAGTTGTTCCTTTTATGGTTTTCTTTTTTAATGTGTACTGCGCACCATCGCTTGTTCTATATGATTTTACTAGAGGGTGTCCTTCAACAGTTTCCACATTTATAATATATAACACTCTTCATCATAAAAATCAAAAGGAATAATCTTGTCTCAATTTTTGAAAGAGATTTTTAAGCTTTTTTTGGTGTGTCTTTCCTTCAATTCTTCATTGACTTGTTCTATAAATTTAATAACCTTCTTTAAGCTTTATTTACTCACTTAATACTCTTTTCTTTTCTTTGTAGATGACTCTTCCCCAATTAGATTTATCAGCAAAAGCCCTTCAGCTGCTGGTGTCATTGTTCTTAGGTCTCTGTAACTTTTAATTTCATACTTATCACAGTATTTTTTCATCTAAAACTTTAAAATTCAAACTATTTTTCTCTAGTCTCAATAATGTGGAGAATATCTTCTAGTGAATGTTGCAGGAAAGGTCGTTGGGTGACTAATTTTCTGAAAATGTATTACCACCGAATGTCTTTCCAGTGTCTTAGAAGAATGATAGTATTCTTCTAAGGTGGAGTATATGTGAGCTCGTTTTGGAGACTAAACGGTATAACCCTCTAATCTGGCCTGATCCTGCTGAGCAGAAAAACCAAAGGGCAACTCAAAGGAAAAGGCTTTGCTTTTAGGGCACTGTCCCCTCCTCATATCAAGCCAGTCATAATTTTCTAGGAGCTATTTTCCTCCCCATATCTTAGTGGGAGAAGAGAATATCTATAGAGATGCCGTACGAAGAGAGGATTCTGTGATGCTGGAAGTGGCCGGTGTAACTGAGGTACTGAATGTTTACTGTAATTTTAATTAATTTAAATTAAGTGGCACCACGCAGTAGTAGTATGTGAGTGCAGAGCGTTTAATGGGACCCGCAAGGGCGTGGGATTTTTAGAAATGTGCACTCAAACCCAGGCACTGCCACTTCCCAGTTTTGTGATCTTGAGCTAGTTATTTAACTTCTGAGTTCCAACTTTTTTCAACTAATGGGGTTTAAATTAATACCTACCTTTAAGGGTTATTATAGGAATTGTAGAAAATCTACAGTATCGGGTACACGGCTTGGTATATAGTAGATGCTCAATACATGACAGCTACTGTTAATAGTATCTTGTTTGTGTTTCTGCCTCTGGTATAAATCCTATGAATTTGTATTTTCTTGATAGTCCCAAGTAGTAATTTTTCTGTAAGATTAGGTATTTCAAAGGCCTCCAGCTGAGGGCGCTGTCTTGAGGACTGGCGATAAGACGGGGCCCTGCCCTCAAGGGCACCGATGCAAGGACTGTCTTTTAGGGAGCTAGACATGGGATTAAACCATAACACTTAACAGAACCGAGCCTCAAAGACCAGCTTAGGTAAGTGGACCAAAGGTGCCAGACTTCGTAGAGGGCAGCCTGAGCACCCGAGGCTAAAAACACTCCAGGAAGCAGGGTGGGGAGAGGGACAGCTGGGTCTTAAGACTCAATGAACAGAAAATTTGAATAAATGAGGAAAAGAAAGAAAATATTTCTGAATAAAAAGAGTCCATAAAGTCACAGAATGGACTTTATGGGACAATGAATAAGACCATCTGGCTGTATACGGATAAATAGTATTTTTAAAAAGAAATTAGAAAGGTGGGCAAGGACCAGATTGTGGAGGCTGTGAATATCCTGCTCTGGGGTTTGGATAAGAGAAAAATGGAGAAGGGTCATCTGAATAAGAGCACAGTACATTCAGATTGCCCTTCTGGCTCGATGCCTACTCACGGGCAGTGTGCTAAGGGCCAAGGTTCAGTCGATGATTCCACAAACATTCATGAAGTCCCTCTAAGGCCAGAGTAAGAATTAGGGAGAATTTAGATTCACGAACATTGATTCTGGATCCCTAAATTTGCAGAGCACGGAGGCTTAGCCAGGTGGGCATTAGACCCCAGGAGGCTCAGGTAAGGTCACTCCCAGGAATTGCCAGTCAGCACCAGGCACAGACACAGGGGGTCCAGGGACAAGAAGTATTTGAGGCTGAGGGGCACTGGGCGTTGGTGTGAAGTGGAGTTCAAGAGCAATGCTGACGGCCACAGAGAGGATGTAAGCTGGACCGAGGTAGGCTCTTAGCCAGAGGGTTCCAGGGAATTAGGGCTAAGACAAAAATTTGGTTGGGTGAACTGGGGCGGGAGAGTTGGTAGTGAGATCCCAGGCTCTGGGAAAGGCATGAAGGCAATTTCTGGAAAGGGGTGCGGAGCGGGGACACAGTGGTCAATGTTAGGTGCGGGCACCCCAGTGGAGGCCGCGTGAGCGATGTGGGGGCGAGGCTGGAGCCACTCTCCGCCTGCTGCTTCAGTTAGAAACCAGGACAGGACAGACTCTCCATGAGCAGACCTAGCTGTAGGAGCTGGGGAAAGCAGAAGCCAGGAAAGGAGATGGGCTCCGGAGGGATGTCAAATTCTGGGTCTCAGTTGGTCCTCATTCCCCCGTTGACTGACTGTTCACCTCTTCCAACTCTGGTCTCCCTGTTCTAGTTGTTCTAGGGCAACTCACGCCGACAACTGCCTCACCGCCCCCAGCCTACTTCCTGCGCTGGGAAGGCGTGGCACTCCACTGGCTTTCTGGGTTATTCTGGGCTACTAATGAGGCCAAGGGCTAAGTCCATCTTGTTTCCACTCTTCCCCATTGCCACCCAATCAGCTTCTGCTCCCGAGGTCAGAGAGCTCAAACAGGGGCCATGGCTGACGGGACCTGGGCCCGTCTGCCCTGCCTGCCGGGGTCAGAGGGGCAGTAGGCGGGAGGCTGCATCCTGTTGATGCGGTCTGCCTCAGCTGCAGCGTGCGGCTCAGACTCAGGTCTGAAACCCCGGCTGGCAGCCTGCTGATTTCAGACAATTTTCAAAGAAACCGGGTCCGCACCCGCGAGGAAACATGGATGTGCTTTTAAGTAGTGCAGAAGTGTGTGTGTTATGAAGAGCAAGATGAGAACCGTGGTGGGAAATCAAAGTTTCCTCTGGAGGTTTTTTATTGGGGAGATTTGAGGTAACATCCTCTAATTTTTGTAAGAAGCCCCAGTGAAACTTCCTGAAAACATCTGCTGGTTTTGAGGGGTAAGGAAGACCCTCCCTCATCCGCTGGGCTGTGGGGAGGCGGGCAATGTGTGTTTGGTTTGGGATTTGTCAGTCTAGAAAGCTGAGGGCTCTGGGCAGCTTAGGCCAGGCGGATTTCCCCCACCTGCCAGAAATTCAGCCGGGAGCGGGTCGGCCGCAGAGCACCCCACAGCCCCGTCCTGCACCTCCGCTCCCCAGACCCTGGAGCTGCGGCCTTTATTCCACGTCTGGTCTCAGGGGGCTGAGTGGGGAATGAGGGCAGCTGATAAGCCTGACAGTATTGACTTTATGGGGAGTATTCAATGAATTTACTTTCTGCAAGAAGGCTGCGCTCTTATCTGCTGCCCACAGAGCATCTAAATCCTCATCTAGGGGACCCATTGATGAGTTATGTCCTTAAACAAAGACCAGAGAATAAAGATGAAAAGGGGAGTTGCTCCCCGCCCCTTTCTTTCCTCTAGTACCTGGTCCTGAGTCTGCCCCGCGCCTCCCTTTCCAACTGCCCTTGGGTTTATTGCCTGGAAATAGAAGCACCCGAAGCTCCAGGCCTACAGAGTCAAGACCAAGCCAGCGTGGTGTTGAGAGCGTCAGCAGCTGGGCACGCCCCAGGCTGCACATCCCTCTAATGGGTAACTATGGGAAGGAAAGCCCACTCACGTGCAGCCGTCATGTGCTCTGCTTTCTGCTGCAATAGTCAACATTTGCTCTGGACAGAAATACTGGCCCAGCCTCAGCCCCAGGTGTCTTGGTGGGGAGATGTGTGTGCAGGTGGGGGTGCAGGTGTTACCAAGGGGCCCGCGTCTGGAGGGCTGGAGAGGAGACATTAACTGTGAGAGCGAGGCTTACAAGATGCTCAAAAGAAGCTTTTATTTCCCCGCTTTGTTATCTCCCTCATCCAGCCCTGGCTCCGTTTGCTTCAAATTGGGGGAGGACGTAGATGCCTCTTAGCAGTACAGGGCCCAAAGCAACTGGGAGGAGCCAGGTGGGAGCCCGGATGCTGCGTCCTGCAAATGCAAGGACCATTTGGAGCTAATTAAAGGCACGTGTTCAGATTCCCTTTCTAGCTTTTGGGTAGGGTTTTTCTGGAACTAAAAGCAAAACAATATTTATTCAGCAACTATGATTTTGTTAGATGCCTGTTAGCACCATTTTTAAGCATTTCCTCCAAATCACTAACTTTCCATGCATTATTAACTCACTGAATTTTCACGTTAACCCGTAAAGTTGATATTATTTCCAATTTACAGCTGAGAAAACTGAGACTGGGAGAAGCAACTCAGTTGCCCAGGAAGACAGCTGGTGTGAGAGCAGAGATTCCAACACTAGTCCTTCTGCCTCCATAGCCAAGTCAAGGGTCTTCTCTTAGCTACTCCACTCAACCCCCCACTTGGTATTGCTCAGTACCTTATTCCCCTTAATGTGCAGCAAATCAGTGAGTTTTTAACTATTCCCATTTTATAAGAAACCGGCTCAGTAGGGTACATTTTAATACAGTCTGGCAGCTTATTAAATAAGTGGCCAATTTTTTTAATCCTCACCCAGGATATGTTTATTGATTTTAGGGAGGAAGAGAAAGGAAGGGAGGGAGAAAGAGAAAGAGAGAGTGAGAAACATTGATATGAGAAAGAAAATGGATCTGTTCCTTCTTGTACACATTCCAACTGGGGACCAAACCCACAACCTAAGTGTCTGTCCTGACCAGGAATCGAACCCATAATCTTTGGGTGTACAGGACAACACTCCAATCAACTGAGCCACCCGGCCAGGGCCAAAGGGACCTATTTGATTGAGAAAGTGATCGAGCAGCAGTGAACCTCAACCATTCATATATCCCTCTACTTACAATCCCATGTCCTCATCACTGTACTTATCCCAAGCAAGGGACAGGGTTAGACAGCAGAGAAAACAGGGGAAATGGAAGAGCATCCACAGACCAGTGTTAAACAACAGCGCAAGGAACCTTTGCAATTCTGATTTCAGACTGTGGACAGATGACTCTCCCTCACTCCCCCTTCTTTACTCCAACAGGGCTCCTTACTTTTGCATCCAGCTGAGCACCACGCCTGAGATGCCATACTCACTGCTTCCTAAATGGAGGATGTCTCGCCAACTCAACTAAGCAACAAGCTGTGGCAATCTCCCAAGTAAGGATAACTTACTTACAGAGTAACATTATTTCTCCCCCTTTGTCAGCTGTAGCGGTTCTATGCAGCTGAGGTGGGGGGTGTGGAGAGGGGAACACAGCGGAAAGCAGGTCTCTTTCCTCTTAAATCAATATTATTTTTTTTCTTTATCGTTCCTTATTTATATGTGAGTGTGTCTAGGGCCACAAAACCAGTGTACATCAATCAGACTGTGATCTACGGACTGTAGCGTCTTTTCTTTTTTGTCATGACTAGGGAATGGGCTCAGAGAAGTACAAAAACGGTGAGGAAACAGCCGAATCTCTGCTTCCTTCTGAGAGGACAAAGCCAGCACTGCTGTCAGTGCTCAGGCAGAGATGGAGCCCCTGCCTTCCGGACACCCTGGACGCCCTGGTTTCCCCCACCAGTGGCTTTCACCTGCAGCTGCTTGCTTTAGTGTTTGTTTATTTTGGGGAAGCGAGAGCAGAGGGAGGCAGGAAGAGTATCAAATAGGTAAACTAATCAGGAAGTTGCTCTTTGGGTCCCGTGAATGGAGTGATATTAACATCCACGAAAATTTACAGCCTCTGCCTGCCGCTGCTGCTGCCCAAAGATCTTTGTCTAAGAATCGCTCCAGTGTCAGCTGCCTGTGAAGGTTCACACCTTTGAGCATATATTTTAGTATTTAACCTGTTTGGGAGTGATATTTTGTTTTGTCAAGGATGATAACTTGTTCTATAACTTTTTATCAAGATATATGATTTCTCATATTAATTGAGAAAACTGGGTGAAGTGCTGAGTGAGCGGGGGTCGCGTGTTGGGTGCCTGCCCCGGAGTTGGTGCCCGATGCTACCCTCCCAGGTCATGCCATCTCCCCGCACCCCTCCTTGGTCTGCTCCATACAGCAGCCAGAAAGTTCTCTTGTCCTTAAAAAACCATCTCCAAAACCCCCTCTCATGGCCGTGGAAGCATTCGCTTCACTGACAGAAAGCAGGGCAAGCTGGAGGTAGCTGTTTGGAGACCTGAGGCAGCCCTGTCTTGCGTTCATTCAACAAGTGTCTTATGAAGCAACTTTTTCGTGCAGTGAGCTCAATTTGTGGGATCTAGTGAACAGTGTAATAGGCAAGCCAAGCAAGTAAACAAAAACTATTTGTTTTGAGGAATTCAACATGAAGATGGGGCTCCTTTAAAAAAAACAAAGTCAAAGAAATTTAAATTTACCAAATAAGTTTTCCAGAAAGGTAAAATCTATGACCAAGAGTTGCGCTCACAGGCCTTCAAATTAGCTGTAAGAGAATGGACACACTCTGGCTGGGAAGAGCACCGTCCCGCTGCTCCAAGGTTACAGTTCTCTCCCTGGTCAGGGCACAGACAAAAAAAACCAAGGAATGCATAAGTAAGTGGGGCAACAAATTGTTCTCTCTCTCTTTCTCTCTCTTTCTGTCTCTCTCTCTCAAATCAATTTTTTAAAAAAATGGGCACAGTTTCATTTGGAAAATGCAAATTTGAAATAATTTAACACAAAATGGAATTCATGACAAAAAGCAAGGCAAAGAGTGGTCATTTTATATTGATATGAGGTACAATTCTCTAAATTAGCAAAACTTCCATGAGTATTTGTGTCAAAGGCAGTGCATCAAAAAGTATAGAGATCTAAAACAAGCACTTCTGGAAAAACCAAAAGGAAGCAACAGGCATGAAATAGTATAGAGCTATATTCCACAATGCTAAAAGACAAAATAGACCAAAACTTCCAAGGGTATTGAGGATTGATTTAGTGGATGTATGTATAAAACACTTTATTTTTGAAACAAAGGAAATACTTCCTTTTCTATTACTTATGGAACACTTATGAAAGTTGATCATATGTTTTACCAAAGAGAGAAAATCTCAGTACGTCGTAAAGCAAAAAAATGTATGGAGCATATCTTTGACTACAGTGCAGTACACTTAAGAGTAAGTGGTTACCAAAAATTACAACAATAAGGAAAATTTTTAAAGACACTTTCTAAAAGAAAACTTTAAATAAAAAACAGATGCTGGATGCTAAGGACAAAGGTACTGCAAATGGAAACACGGAATGACACTAAAGTTATCAGAAGAAAAGCCATCGTCTGAGATACTTTTCTCACTAAAGACAGGATGAAAATTAGTAAAACAAACACTGAATCTAAGAATGGGAGGTGGAGAGACAACAAAATGAACATAAGCAAATGAGAAAGAACAAATAGCATAGAAATTAATTCATTAGAAAAATCATAAAAATGGTGATTCACAGAGGTAGCTCTTTTCAAAAGAACAATAAAGTGCACAAGCTTCTTCAAAGCTAATCAAAAAAGAGAAATGAGAAATCATGAACATAAGACATGAAGAATGATAAAGGCGATAACACAGATAAACAGAGATTTATTTAAATTGAGTAGCTATACATAACAATTTATTAATGATTTCGAAAATGTCAAAGTGTCAAAATTGACTTATGAGATAGAACACTTGAAGGAACAAAACCTACCTAGAAGGATTTACTGGTAAATTCTGTTAATGATCAAGAACCAGCTAATTGGTGTGATGAATAAATTTATGGATGCATACACAATGGGTGGATAGAAGAAGGAACATCCATGGGAGGGTGGATGAATGGAGGGACATACTGGGGCCTGGGTATGCAGAACTAGAGATTGGGAAGGGGCTAAGAACGAGGCAGGAAGGGAGTTTTAAGACTTGATGACCTCCAGCCAAATGACTTTGGCCCACAACCTTCGGGGCTGATAGAAACCTTCTCCGAAAACCTCAGGTTTGGCCTTTCCTACAGCTGACAGTGCCTGCACACAGGACTAGAGGCCAGTGTTTGCGGGCTCATCCAGACAGGTCAATTAAGCCAGTGAAACCAGCTCCTGACAAAGCCCAGGCTCTCCCGGGGACCTGCCCTGCCCTTCCCAACCCGCCCTTCCCTCCCCAGGAGCCCGCAGGTGCAGTCTCTCCAGGGGGCGGTGAGAGCCTTGAATAGTAAGGGTTTTAGCTCAAGCACACAGAGGCATTTAGCTGCCCAAACCTAATCCCCCAATAATCGGATTATGTAAATTCCTACTTCAACCCCTTCCCCTGCCGGACCTAGCCCCTAAGCTCTCCACAACCGCCCTGGGGACAGGGATGGAAGAGGACCCATCACTCTAAACAATCACTGCTAGTGGAATGGTGCCTCAAAATTGTTTCCCCATTTTAAAACTTATAACAGCCACACTCAGATGTAAGAGTTTTGAGAAGAAAACAAATGCCTACTCTGGTTCCAGCGTGCCAACATCATTGTGCTCCTTTCTCTGTCTCACACTGTCTCCCAGTCCTTGTCCAGTTGTACACAGACCCTATTTTATACTTAGTGTTTCACTTAGCATGCGATCTTGCCACCCAGTTGCTGCAATTCTTTTTTTTCTCTTTTTTACAGCTGTAGACTATGCCATTAAGAGAGTAGGTTGCCTCACAGGTTTTTGGCTAAGATGGAAGATAATACAGGTTCTCGGTTTAAATCCTAACTAGCGCTCTGCCAGAATTGTGATGCAGTAGGCACGGTGGACAGGTGCGGGCACCACGAAGCAGCGCTGCCCCTCCACAGCCCGGAGGAGGCAGAAGGGCAAAAGGAGGGCGAAGCGGCCATGTTTACTGTACATACCCGGTTGTAAAGGCCGCTTCTGTGCCTATGTACAAATTGACCAATTAATTCTCTCCAACCCACCCGCCAACCCAGTCTTTGCTCTGCCACCAAAATGAGCTTTGAAGCCCATACATCTAATTACTCCTGTGTTCGAGGCACACACTTGCCTTCCCATGGACGACCCTCCCCGCACTGCGGCGTGCGTGGTTCCCATGGAGCCTTCCCCTCCCAGCCTCTGCTTCTGGGCCTTACGTGGCCCTGCACGGAGCCCCCCTCCAGCCCCTGCCTGCTGCCGTGTCCACATCTAGACCACACTCTGGGTGTCTAGGACTCTGGAATTTAGCCCAAACTCTGGGTACTCAGGGCCTCTGAATTTCTGCTCAAATGGCCCTGATTCCGTGTTCAGAGCCTGCACAGCACTCTTCCTTAGGTCCCTGTGGGTGGGGTGACCGCATCATATGCAGAAAGGGAATGCGGTCTCCCCACCCACTGGGGATGCAGATTGGTAGGGATCCTACCTTTGTGCCCTTGTTCCGCCGAGTTGCGCAAATGTCAGACAGAGGCAACCCTGCCTCAAGGCCTAGTTTAAATGCTGTCCCTCCCACAAGCAATCTCTGGTCCTGCAGCTATTATCTTGTGCCTCCATAACTCCAGTGTCATACTCTCTGGCCCTCAGGACCATCTGTCTAGTATTTGGTCATTTTGTCATGCCCTGTCCTTTTCAAAGGCTGTGAACTCCATGAAAGCAGATAGTTTTCTTCACCTTCCTGCCCCCTGAGAACCTAGCAATTCTTGTAACAGCTTTTGTATTGATCACAAGAACTGTATTCATCATTTTTTTCTTTTTCTTTTTCTTTTTGAGAAGGAGGACAAACAGCCCCAAAGTCTCGGTGGTTTACAACAGCCCATATTTTTCCTCCCTCACATCAGGTGAGGGTTGTGGTTGGCTATGGGTTTGCTCCACGGGTTCCAGGCAGGAGCAACCCCACACATGACGTTCTCATGCCTGAACCCGCACAGCAATCGCTGTTAAATGTGGATCAGGCCCGCTCACATTTCATCATCCCCATTTTAGAGATGAGGAAACTGAGGTAGGGAGAAGTTACATGATTTGCCTGGCATCACACAGTGGGTAGACCAGGGATTTCAATCTGTGTATGCAACTCTGGGGTCCTTTGTGCTTACCTACTAAGCTGTGACGTATTTGTGAATTTATTGTGTCCTGTCCTATGCTGGGTCATTCAGAGAGGGTGATGCCTAGAAATTCATTACTAATTCATTCATTAATCAACCAGCCCTAGTCACTAGGGCTGGGGAGGAGACAGCAAGATAAATAAATATGATAAACTATTACTACGTGAAGATGAGCGAT